CAGTAAGCCATTTTTAATAGGCTGCACTAAATAAAAGTGATAAATACCATAGTAGCTAAGCACACAACACTTTAGATGTTTTACAAAACAGGTTAACACAGAATGTCTCAGATTGTGAAACAGATGGTATGAATACAAGTTTTCAAACAGATGATGTTTGGAAAGCAAATAACTAAAATTGAATGCCCATAGTACTAAATGTTGGTACTTTTAAGGGCTTCTACGGGACAACCCTTTGGTAAAATCATTATGAAACTGTTTATCTTTCCTATTTATAACCTTAATAATGAGTACCAGTATACCAAATATCAGACTTCTAACTAATCAGGAAGTGAGTGAATGAGTGAGTGGGTGAGTGGGTGAGCGAGTAAGCGAGTAAGTGAGTGAGTAAATACTTGGTTAAAAACAAGATTTCAAACAAGTTAATTAGAAAATCATTCATAACATGTTGTATAAGTGGACATTAGAAAAGACAATATTTTGTTGCAAAAAAAGAACAAGAAAGTAGATACAAAAAGTGAAATATTTTTAATAAAAAATTACCAAATCCAATAGTGGAAACGATATGAAATTGCTAATAATATGCAATTTTACAGGACGCTGTTCTAATCAAGATTAAGGCAATACATGTAATCTTTGTTTCTCCAGTTATTGACAAGATTATGTTTGTTGTGAAACCATTCCTTAGGAAAGCTCTGTTAGATATAGTAAGTATAAATTTTAATAGAAAAAATTTATTAAATAAACAAATTGATTGGATATTATCAAATCAAATTTTGTAATAGGTCTAAATGTTCTAAATTGATATTAATTGAGTTATATCAATGATCATTATCCGGAATTAATACATTAATTTATGTACCCATTTTATGTTTTCTCAAAATCTAATAGTTTCTGAGATACCAACGGTGGCACAGGTAAGTTGTTCACCCTGTATATAATATTTAATCAGGAAAATATCAAAAATAGTAGCATTAATAGACTTTAAGATTTTTTTATATTTTTTTACAGCAGACTTTCTCTCAGCAAAACTTGTTCCACAAATAAATTTTTTTTTTTTCTCAGCTCTACTTCCACACAGGGGAAATGAAGGATTTCTACAATGAGGTTCCACGTGAACTTCTTCCTCCGGAAATTGGGAGTACCTGGTCCAGTCACAAGCAACTAAATGGTGGGTAAAATCAGTGTGTGTGCCTTATAAGTGGGTAATCCTAAGTTCAATGGTATAGTTGGAGAGGTATCAATGCTGTCCTCAAATGAAAAAGGCTAAAATCTTTATGTTAGTGTTTTATGTTCTTCAATTTTCTTGGTTAAACTAGCAATAGGTCAAATTACTTAAATTCACAACAAATTTTTTTTATTGACATTTTAAGTTTGTCAATTCAATTTTGTGGGATTTAAAATTGAGATTTTACACCAGATTATATCTTAAAACTTGAACCAACAAGACCAACAATTCTATTCTGGTTTATAATTTAAAAATCATTAACTAGTGATAAATGAAATAGTGATGAAAAATCTACGAGTTTACAGCAATCTAGAATCGTTCACTAAGTTTAGGTTTATTAAAATCTACTATTTAGTGTTAGTCACAAATAATTTCAAAATTATCTATAATTTTAACTTATTTTATTAGACCTAAAGCTATTTTTAGAGTTTGTTATGAGTATAGTTACTGTCAAAACTTAATGGCGAAACAAACATAATTATTGATTGTACTTATAAGGATTATCAGGTTTGACATTAGCTACGAGTTAAAGTCTAAGATAATCAAAGTATTGAGTATGATCTAAGCAAAACTCTTATACTTTCTATTCTATGAACTCATTCTGTAAAAAGTTAGACACAGCTCAGAACATTATAATGTGCTCAAGACAAGGCTCGATTTGAGGGTAAACATAGCTAAGGCATTCCAGACCCCTCCCTAAGATATGCTATGAAAATTTCAACTTTTTTTAAGAAATAATTCTTAAATAAGTGCTCTAGATGCATGTTTTTGTTTACTCTTAATAATTACGCGCTAGCACGCAAAAAATGCTACAATCCTAAAATCCAGAAATCCGACACCGAATATACACATAGTAAATAGTAAATAGACAAATAAATAAAAATCTTTACAGAGCTATCACGGGACAGACTGGAGCGACAGAGAGACTGGTTGAAGGAGACAGAGCGTTGGGTGATAGACGAGAGTAAAGCTCCGGACAACAAGAAAGACAACTACAGCGTGGCAGGGTCTTTCCGCAAACTGCAGCTAGACTGAGTGATATAAACTTTTATGAACTTTTGACTGCCCATAGAAGTAAATACCCCCATGTCGAAGCTGTGACCAGTTTTAAGAATGATAATGAATGAAGTTGAATTGAGCCATTGAGTAGTAGTGAGTTGAGTGTCAATTACAAATGTCTGTTGAATAGGCTAAGCCAATCTAAATAGGACAACTTATTTTATATACTACATAATCTTTTACACAAGTGTTAAAATATAAAAACATACAATTTTGTTAGTACTGCACTCTATTAGCGCTCATTCAAATAAAATAATATGCTGAAACTGATGAATATAGATTGGATGTCTAATTTATTGATCAACAGTTAATGAAAGCCTGTCACAAAGCAAAAGTGACCAGTTGAACTTAAAAGATTGTTCCATATAGGTTTGAGCTTGGCCAAAAAGGGTATATTATGCAAATGAAAATAAAAATGTAAATAAATATGTATTGTGTTCAAAACTGTTGATTCATATCTGAAGAATTTTGAATTATGTAAAGTTAATGCAATTGCAATACATTAGAATATGTAATGTATGTTATATGTGTAGAATTAGTATGTATGTGTATGGAATATGAGTGTTGGCTCAGAATATGTAATAGAAAACATTAAAGACAAATTGTGTTAATCATTGAGTAGTGCATCAAAAATTTAATTGTTTAAGTTGGGAGATGTTTTTTTAAGAAGAGACTAACACCGTGAAACAGGAATGAACAAGATTAAAAAAATCAGAAACGAAGTTCTTAGTTGAAATTCACTATAGTATAATTTTATGTAATATAATTTTTATATTTTTTTAATAATAGTAAAAACCCTTACACACATCTTAAGGGTATGTTATGTCACATTCTTCTAAAAAACATATTCTAAACCGTTATTTTATTATTAAAGAACAGAAAAATTATTCTTTAAATCTTATAGTTTAATGGGATTGTGTTATGTAATGTATTAGGGTTATTCAAAAATCTTACATTTCATCTAGGAGAACTTGAAGAAGCAAGACCAAAATGTGAGCAAGAAATACAACTTTTACCACCTTTTACTCCTACAGTAAGTAAAATTTGTATTAATCCAAGTTGAAAACTATTACTGTACTGTATGCAATAATAAATGAAAAATTTACCGGATAAAGCTTGCTATTTAGAGATTGTACAAAATAAAATATTTCTATTTTTTTATAAAAACTATTTAAATAATTTATATGAAGACGGATGAAATGAAATGAATGAAATGAAATTATGTTTATTTCCCAACTGAAAAATACAATTCATAGTATTTTACCAAATAAATTACTTAATCCTTGTCTTAAAAATAACTTACAAAATAATACTATAACTAAATGGCACAAAGAGATAAAAAAAATACCTTGTCAACTTATATGGAAATGTGTCTACATAGGCAGGGCCTGTGCATAGACATGAGTTGCGGGTAATTTGTTTAGTGAATGGGAAATTTTTTTTTGGAAGTGATTGTTATCACGTCTGAAAATTGGATTGATCTAAGATTGTTTTTACATAATGCATAATTTTTGTGGCAATCAAACAGTGATACAAACTATCTAAACTATATTATTGAAATACAATTATTATGGTGGTTAAAACTTAGGGTTACGATTTTTATTTACACTCCCAAACAGTATTCTCTTGAACTCTATTGACAGTAACATGAACAAAAGACCTTGATCATCTGTTGGTTGAAACACCTCAACAAGGCGTATCAAATTGCTGACTGCACGTAAGCATTCTCCAGGGTCAAAAGGTCGAATTCCGTTTGTTTTTAGACGAAACATACAATGTATGTGTATTGTGTGTGCAGTATATAAAAACTAATCTAAATAAACACTACATTCGCTGTCAAAATAGTGAGATCTACAACCGTTGGACTGTTTACCAGCATTAAAAAAAAATTAGATTATGCTATTGTTTATCAGTTTAGGGAAATAGAGAAAATCTTTGTCTAAGTGAAGCTGAATTTTAGACTAAAATGTGCAATGTGTGACAATTGTTCTATTAATAGTTCACAACTTCATAATTTTTTTGAGCAAAGAGTTAGATATTTTAGCTATAATATTCTTGTTCTTAAAGTACCTATAACTTTTAAGATGAAGTCATTAGGTTTTCAGAAGTTGTACTCGACTAAAACAAGAAACACTTAGTTTTGGTAACTAATGGACTTAACAATTATTTTAAGTCCCATTAACAACTTTAACATTAATGATTTTACCGACCTAAACAAAACTTATGGTAAGGAAGATGTATCTAGATAGATAATGTAAACCCCGATTTTTGCATTTCAGACAACTTACTTGGGAAGATAATCATGTAAAAATGCGTAACTCATGATTGTATTTTGTATAATAAACCCACATAATTAAACATGGAAAAATAGTGCATCAGAAGTATTTTATTTGGAAGATAGTAGAAATTAACATGAATCATCTCTCAAAACACAACTCATCGCGCGCTTCATTAGCTCCGGATACCACTCGCAAAATCCGGAACGGATGAGTCAGAGACGCGCGTCGATGACGTAATCGAGAAGGCAGTGGAAAACCAAACAAATCAACAGGACTTAAATATTCTGTCGTTGTTCCTCATGTGACAGCGACGCATATCGCTTACGCAAAACAAAGCAGACTTATCAACCGATTGTTATCTTATCAACTGGAACGAGCTTGAGTTGGTCGTGCGCCGCGAAACGTTTGTGATCGAAGTGGCAAGTGGCAGTGGCAGTGCGCGGAAACAGCTGTGCGAGCCCGCCCTACAGAGAGACAGAGACAGTCAGCTGCTATTCCTCTTCCACACAACACACCTTTGCTTGCAGGTTATGTCGTCTGGATAGTGGAGTGGTTAGCTCGCAGTGCGGTGTTACAGTGATCGTTCCAAATTCCAAGTATTACTGTATGAGGTGAAGTGAAGTAGTGAAGAGCGGTGGGTAAGGTTATTTTAGCCTATTGGAAACAAGGTGTACAATCATCCAGGAATAACTTTTTCTGTCAGTGTCAACATACACTCTGCCTTCTGCGGTCTATATTGCACGCTTTCACTTTCACACTACATCACATTACACTGCAAAGGTATCGAGTAAACAAGAGTGGCAACGTTTTTGTATACTAATCACTTAATAAATTACATGTAATACTTGAGGTGAATGTTTCTAAAACATATTTTGTTAAAAAAGAAAATCTAAATAGGTCAAGGCCAAAAGTGTTTTGCTAACCCAACCAAGGAAGTCTATCTCACAGACAAAAACATTTCTAAATTTATTTATTTTTTCTCAAACAAACAGGAATTTTGTTCAAAAAGTCACTTATAAGTTGTTTTTTTAATAATAAATTCCCAAGCATTTAATCAGTGTTTTCCCGAGATTTAAATATATTTTTTTTAGCTTGCCAACTAAATAGCATTCAAATGAGATTTTGTATCAGGTTAGAGCAATTGCAATAATTTTATTTAAAAGTAGGCTATTTAACCAGCTAACGGATTGACTTAAACTACCTATTTCTCCACTGTCAAAACTTGTCACTATCCCATTTGCTTTGTGCACAAAGGCAGTTAAAAGTCAATTATCAATTATTTGAGATGAGGACATACCACCTAGGTGTGTATTTTAGCCCTACTATGAGGGAAGGATAAGTGTAGAATGTTGTGAGATAATCTGCGTAGCTTTGTTACTGACCAAGATCAGTAATCAAAATCTATCAAAAATTTTTAAAGGTCAATGATCAAAACAGCTGAGTCCGGTTTTGAACCATCAAAAAGTTACTGACTTTTCTCAGGATCGAACCGGTGATTTAGTTTAACATAAAACAGTACGTATGACTAAATTGCACAGTATAGGCTACAATAGAAGGAAAATATTGATAAATAGTAAACATACAACTGATACGACAACATTTATGTGCACAGTTTAAAAGATTTTACAGCCATAAGCTTGTTTTAACTCTTTAACAGATCTAGAATATCTCCTGTGCAGCTGCAACCTTAAATGTAGGTAACACATTTTGGTAAGACCTGAGTATGAGATTAGGTCATGAGGAACAGTGGTCGGCTATGGGCCTACTTTCACCATTACTTGGAGTTGAGTTGCACAACTGAACACACCTCTGCTTTGTTCAAGGCCACAACAGCCTTCAGCTGTGTTTCACATCAATGGGTCCTATCTGTCCATGACTAATGCAAACCACACTTTATACGCTAATCTATAATATTATAAAATATAGGGACGGTTCTTTAGCAACTAACTGTATATCTGTTTGTTGTGGGTAAACGCAAAGAAACGGGACCAACTGAACTAGAATTGTAGCCTATAGCAACTCAGCCAACATATAAGCCTGTTCAAATCCTTGTTACTTCCCCTAGCAATCCCCAATAGACATAAAAACTTTTGAGGTAGAACTTTTGGAAATAAATAAATTGGTGTCTATAGCACACAATGCAAAGCTACCAAGAACTTCTTGCAATTGAGTTTAGTTTCTTTAATGAATGGGTGAGTGTGAACGTGTTTCCTAGAGGAGGTTTGAAGAAGAAAGCAATTCTCATATTTATTCACAATATCAAGAAGCACAAGTTACGAAACAAGTAGGCCTATTTGTAAATATTTTACTTTAAGGAATGGTTTACATATGGTTTATACAATACGGCAATGAACACTCAGTTTTAAACCAAAAATAATTTTACTCCAAATCAGTTTGGAATTAATTGAAATGCCAAAAAATATGTAGCATATACACATTTACCATTTGAGATGGGGACGCCCCGCCCCCTATGTGCGTATTTTAACCCAAATATAACTGAAGGATGAGTATAGAATGAATTATGGAGTGGACGGAATGGATTGCAATGCATTGTGCAGCTTTGTTAGTTAGCCTGCTGACTAAGACTAGCTTTTTAATAATCAGTTAGGACCATTTAAAAAAAGTCCAAAGATCCAAGGACAGCTGGATCCAGTTTCCAACCATCAAAAAGCTACACACTTTTCTCAGGCTCAAACTGGCGAGCACTTTAACCACTGAGCTATCCAGCTTTATAACACTTATACATACCCTACTAGATATAATGTTGTTCAGTGGAAATAAAAATCTTTTAACACATTCACTGCTAATGATATGTAATACTTTTATAAATGGCTAAAAAACATAAACATTAACATGATCATGTTAATTGAGTGACAATATATCTTTAATTAAATAAATTTTATACTATAAATTGTGGATTAAAATATATTATGTAATTATATACATCATGTATTATATATCTGCTAATATACTTATGACGCACATGTGCGTCATTAGCAGTGAACGTGTTAACAGTACTATAATTTTTGTTGCATCACTATCACGTAGCCTATTTCTAACAACTACTGAGAGTGGGCTACGATTAATTTCTGTTTCAAAGAAAAGTCCAGTGGGAACACAAAATAGAGTAATGTGATATTCCAGTTCCAATTGTACCAATCAATGGGAGCGAGATCCATTATAACCAGTGTCGATTTGCTTTGAGTCACTTGGATGGGCTTCTATTTGTGAATAAGTGATTTATGTCCCTGAGGTCCAATCAAAGGATTCAATTTACTTTTTGCAATGTTGGTTTGATTTATAGTTATGAAGATACCTAACACTAATCCAACGAAATCATAAATATTAAACTGATCACTCCTAGCAAAGCATTCTCTTTTCTCTTATAACTACTATGTGTTTATAATTGGAAAATAAAGTAGCAAAGACCTAGTCTAACATTTAAACATAAAATTCCATCATGTCATTTGATCTTACAAATGCATTTTAAGATCATTAAATTTTGTCAATACTCACCTCATTATGAAAATTTTTAACAAACAAACTAACTAGGGTATGTTCAATACAGTTTCTGAAACCCAACAAATGCCGGAGTCAGGTTAAGCCCATGTTACGCAACAGACAAGTAGGTGTGGATTAGATAAAAAGCATATCAGCCATTATGATGTATGTGCCTTAAAAACCTGTTGATAAACTATCACAAGCTAATCTGTCGCAATAAAAGTTATATGTATCAATTTTGAATCCACACCTTACACGGTCCAGGTTGTCAACGTTAAGTGGAAACTGTTTTATTTTCAAGACAAGAAGGATTCTGTGAGACACACTACAGTCCTTCAACATGTGGAAAATAACACTAGAGGAGGAATACAAGAAAAATCCAGAATTGAAGGAAGAGCAAATACAAGAGATTCAAACATGGATAAAGAGCCAGCCACATTTGCCCTCTATCACAGGTTAGTAAAGTATCAAGGATCTGATAAATGATTAACAAAAAATTAAATACTGAATCTAGCTGTTAGACAACCATTGCCATATAAAACTGTACCTAGTTTTAGGTTCGAAGAGAGATTCTATTTTAATCAAGCCACAGACAGTATATTTCCGTAAATGATTTTCATCTCCTATACACAATCTTAACAATCACGTCCAACCAAAAATACAAACTGCAACTAACTTTAGCATATCTTGTCACATCAGCTAATATGGTACAGAAAGGGCTAACACTTGAAAACTTTGTGAGAGGCTGGTTTAACAATGTCACAGAATAACGATTGTCTCACTCTTTCCACCAAACTTTAGAGTCCAAATTGAAGTATTATATTGTGAAGTTGTCTAACCCTGATTTGAAGTTTTGTATTCCTGACTGTTTACCGAGTTGTACTTTAAAGTAAAAAGAGCCTTGGGGTGATATGGAAAGGGTGGTCTGACTAATAGGGCAATTACTGATAATGGAAGAGAAGGATATTCAAACTGTGACAAGTCTTAAGGTTACGATTACAGAGGTTATTTCAACCTTAACCTAGTTTTCAATCCAGGAAAATACACGCTAATTGTCTGACCACATTAATTTAAATATTAATTTTTGGCCAGGTAATAGCTTATTTGTGCTGCAATTAAGTAAGTAGCTATCAAAATACCACAAAATGTAAAAGTGTACTAATTGTCAGTGTTGCCAAAAATTAATTCCTAGATTATATAAGTACTAAATTGTAAATAAAACGTAAATGTTCCGCTTCCACTAGCCTGACTGTTTAAAATTCACTTCTTACTTGGATACTCTAATTAAAGATATTTCCCATTTAATTATTGCACGAACAAATTACAGATTCCTTGATTAAACCATGGAATCCATGTAAAATGTATGGACACGATGAGGCACGATATGGTAAAATGGCACGATTTTGAAAAATCCCTAATAAAAGATAAAAAGAATAATTTATGGTTTTAACATGTACATTTAACTAAACATTTTTTTTACCTAAAAAAATACAACCGAAAGAGTGCTGTGCACAAACCAAATTATCCACGTTTTCTTTTGAATGTCTTTACGGCAACCGCATGTCGTTCACTCGTCTAATGCTCCATGGTTACTGAAATTTCCACTTGCCTCGACACTCAAGGTAATTTTCCCCAATTTCACATAGCCCCTATCTCTCATAGCTGGAGTCGGAATTGTGCCGTTTCACTGCCTCACCCTATATTTTGCAGAGAAGTAAGCCAAAACCACAACCCTAGCAGGTAGTCAACAATTTAGACATGTGGGCTGATGGACGATGATACTTTATGAGGAGGGAATTTCTAATAGACAGACCCTACTAATTAACAACACCAATACAAGCTATATGCCATTTTTCTACTATTTTCAGAGAATATGATGTAGCCTATGGTAAACAACATCATCATCTATTGTCTATTTAATACACAATAAATAAAATTAGGTTATATTGTGAAACCTTTTTGATGAAAAGTCGCTTTTACACTGAAGTTTGTAACAAACATTTTCAATCTTCACATTTTGATATAACCCCTCAATTTAATAAACATTGCTTGCAAATTCTTGTGGAAAACTGGTTTTCTGTCGTAGACACTCGTAGAAAACTGTAGAGAACATCACAAATAACCTAGCGTTGTTTGAATTGTTATAGACTTTTTTATTAAAAACTTGTTTTGTTAACTCTGGTGGTTAATTAAAGTAGCTTTAAAGTTATTTATGTTTTTATATAAAATGCAACCCTATGTTGTAATGAGATATTATTATGACCATTTACAGACCTGGACGTGGTGATGTTTCTACAGTCGTGTCAGTTTGACTTGGACCAGACCAAAGAGACAGTGGAGGCTTACTACACTTACAGAACTTCCCTAACAGACTTCTTCTCTGGCAGGGACCCGATGTCAAAAGAGATACAAGAAATATCCAAAGTCATGTGAGTATTATTTGAAGTCAAAATTAATTCAATAAAGAACCAGATACTGTCCCATCTAATCATTATTCATTAGGCTATAGATAGTATTAAGTTTAAATCACGTTATTGACACTAGTTTGACCCATTTCTTTTAAAAATTTTCACAGCTACATTTTTATTTCATACTTTTGTCTAGGCCTATAAAATTCTTCACTGTGTACCAAATTCCACATAATTTTATTTTCCCAAGTCACATGTTATCTAGTATCCAGGTTTACAATTTACTTTGTGATTATCTGTTAAAATTTAGGTAGATTCATAACAATCAGAACTGAGGTTATTACAAATCATATAGCCACTAGTGTTTGGTGGTTTTTGAACTCGTGCTTCACGGCAGAAATCTTGCACTCTAACAGTCCCTAACTGTATTCTCTGTTCCTAGCAATGTGACTATTCTCCCTGACCCAGACAAGGATGGTAACCGCATCATGTGGGGCAGTCTGGTCGACCCGGACCCCAACCACTACAGCTTCGCCCTGGCTGTCAAGTACTTCACCATGACCTCTGAGGTGTTCCAGCTAGAGCACGGGACAGTTCCGGGGTTCATCGTTGTCTACGATGTCAAGAACCTCTCCTTCTCCCACCTCCTCAAAACACCCCTCACGCACATCTCCAAGTACACACATTACGCCCAGGTACGCTGTTCATCATGTCAACGGAAAGGTGTACAATTCATTAGCTAAGTGGTTTGAGTGCTCAAGTTGATTCAAGAAGGTCCTTTGGGAAACTTTTTAAATGTTTAGGTCAGTGGAATTTTAAGTTAAAAAATCACAAATACTCTAAACCAAGGGAAAGTGGTACAAACACAGGAAATTTTAGTGGATAAGCTGAGAATTGAACACGCCCCTCTTGCACCAAAGTTGAATACACCAAACACTAGGCTTGCAACACACCCAAGCGAGCATTAAGATTTTAATCACTATGGTTTGAAACTAGATTTAGATGTCCTTTATCAATGATTCATGTCATAGGATCTTCATTAGTAACAGACTAGTTCATTCTACAACTAACTATCCTTCATTCATCTTAAAAATCAACCCGAATGTTTATTGTTGTTAATATAATCTAAGGTGCACACTTTGATGGTAAAAACATTTCAGATGTAATTATAAACATTATGTGAAGTCTGAACTTTTAGTTTTTTAATTGCAAGTAGCTTTGCAGTTCTAATTGAATTGTTCGAAATAATAAGCTAACAGTTGTTTTTTTAATTATTTGACTTTTGAAACAGATACAGTTATCCTAGTAAATGAAACTTAGCTTTATCGGAATCACAAAGTCACTACTATTGGAGTATTAGAACAAAGTGTCATCGATCTTTTCAGGATTTTAATAGGGTCGCAGAAGTTTCATATCACTAGGACAGCCACACATTCACATTATTAATCACAGTAGGCCTACACATATCATACACTATGAGTAATAATATGATAAATGTTGTATGCCCATTAACCAATTAAAGTGTTTTAAATAATTTAGGAACAAAATCTTGGTTCATTTAAAGTTTAACAAATTATTATATTGTCAACTAGTTGAATGATCAAGCAATTGATTAGAAAATATTGTGAATTTTGAAATTGATTTTCACTACAGCTTTCATTATAAAAATATAATGTAACTGGTTGCCAAATGATAAAAATTCATAAGTTTTCATACTATAATCAACTAGCTTTTTCTGTTATCTCTTAGAATTGTTTGAGTAAACAGTATTGACAGTTTTCAATATCAACACACAGTAAATTTTCTTTGAAAATAAAATGAAAGAATTGTTAGTAAAACTTTGCATGGTTTAACTGATTCAAATTACCAAAAACACCATGCAAAACTATAGTAATCAATGTTTTAAATCTTTGTCATCAACTGTGTTTTAGGAGGCTGCATCTTTCCCAGTCAAAGGTATTCACTACTTGAACACTAACGCTGTGATAGACAAACTAGTCTCCTTCGTTAAACCGTTCGTCAAGTCTAGCATTATGGAGGTGGTAAGTCAACCTTTTCATTCTACGAATCTATATTCATAAAATAAATTAAAATATGAGACTGTCAACTCATTGGGTAGTTTTGTATTAATAATTTGTCTGAATAATCCATTAGTAAAGATGACAAAGCTAAAGTTGGTGCAAGTCAAACGTTGCTAATGACAAATGGGTATCTACATTTGAAAAGTAATAACACTTAATTGTTTAGGCCCTATACATGTTTGTTTGGACATTATTTTAGGTAAATAATAGTTTGGATATTTTCCTCAAAACAAAATTTGTCTACAATATTTAATATTATAAAACTTAAGTACCTATTTAAAACTAAAGTTAGTCTCATATTTTTTTAATATTTTAAACTGTCTCTTTCTTAGTCTCAGATAGGGTGCCTAAAGATAATCCGCAAACTAATCCGGATTCTTCTAACTGAAAATTCATTCTTTTAGTTACAACTGCACTCAAATTTAGACACGTTTTTCAAATTTGTGCCAAGAGAAATTGTGCCCAAAGACTACGGTGGGGACCAACTGACGCTAAAAGAAATGAACGGTAAGTGTATTCAATGGTTTTAGGCTGTATAAATGAACAGGACTTTGAATGTAACCTGAACGAGAACGTAAAAAAGTCAACAATGAATCTTGAATTTGATTCAAAGTGAGATGAACTAAAGTGGTAGAGTAAAGGTGTATGAATCTGACTTTGTAGACTTAGTACATAGAAGAATTGTTTTAACGCGAGATGAAACATAGTACCCAAATCAACTCGATAAATTAACAGTGAGTTTGTTTGATTCAAAATGAGAGAAAATTATTTATGAAAATGGAATCAAGAAAACAACGGTAAGTGAGATTTGATGAGAGTGAATAGTTGACCAATGAACTCAAGAACCATTACTGAGCTACCATTTACAAGTCCGATTTGACATCTGACCTGCTGACATTGAACAAGTGTCCTCATTCAGTGACATCTCATTGCAGCATCTCAGCTGATGTCATATGACTGAGTAGGCATAAGAGATCATGACTATACTAAGTAAATATAATGTTGTGAAACATGTTCACTCAAAGACTTAGATCCAAAAACTGATCAATGAGTAAAGCTTTTAAAATAACCCCTACTAATATTAATATAAATGTCAGTGCAACAATATTATTTAATCAACGCTGCTTGGTCTTGGATGAAAATTATTGATTGAAGTAAATGTTTACAGATTTGAACCTGCGAAAGATTGAAGACCACAGGCAGTTCTTCCTGGACGAACAAAAGTATCGTGTTGACGAGAGCAAAAGAGTCGGGAAGAAGGGGAAAAGCTCTGCTTCCGGAAACGGGAATGGAGTGGACGGAGTGAAGGGATCCTTCAAAAAGTTATCTATTGACTGATGTACAATGCGAGAAATTGTAATCGATGGTGCTTTACCCACTGTGAATAAATTTTATGTTTAGATTATACTTTTAACTGTGTTATTATGATCTACTGCCCTTTGTTCAGATTATAAAGAAACGTTTACAAAGTTAACCTCAAGAGTGTGAAAATTACTTTAAATATTCAAGGTAATTTTTTATTAGTGTGATTACTAAGACTTAACTCCTACATGCATTTCAAGTTTTTTTATATTTTAGAGAGAACCAACATCTATTACCCAAATGGTAGTATATGAAGGCTGATGCTTAAACCAGTAACTTTTCTATTAATGTATATAAAAAATGTTACACCTTTACATTGGAACATGAGGTTGTATGATATTGTGTGTAGTGGGAGCTGTTGAACTACTGGAAGATATCGTGATTGGACACTACATGGTAAGTGATTGGTTGTTCTTGATAAAGGGACAGAAATAATGACCTAACTACAACCATTACAAGACTTTAGGTCCATTGATAAATTACATAGAAATGTAGAAAATTTGTCCCTCTAACTAGTTAGAAAAAAAAACTCATAAATGTTTGTAGGGCTTTCTAGAGAAAACATTGAATAGTAAAGGGAGAACAATATGCTTCTAATTTTGTCAAAATATAGTACATTACTCGGTTGGAAACTTACTTAAATTAAATTTAAAACTTTATGTAAAATACATTATTAACAATTTATATCATTAAATGAAGCCACCATTTAATGAATCTTTACTATGAAATTAAAGTCCACAAGATTTAAGTTTCTAAATTTAATCACACATTTAAATATCTTTTAAACTGAATCTTTCTTAAATATGTTTGTTTATTAAACTAACTATTTTTGAATAAAGCAACAATTGTCCTAGTTGGGACCAAATCAAGACTCAAAGGAATAGTAAATACATATACTATATATTATGTTATCCCCAAAATTAATGAAATGTATGAAAATTTGGTTAAGAAGGGAAACATGCCGACTACTATACCATTAACATGTTGTGTAAAGATTTTAAAGTTTCTTGTAAGAGTTAGGAAGGATTTTGTTTTATTTGCGTAATATAACGTGTTGACACTTAATAGAATGGGTCTAGGTTTGCTGCTACAAGGAAACTAGAAAGTTTGTTTTTAGTAAAATATCAATAGCTTAGTATAAAATAAATAAATTTGCAAAGTTTGATCAAAATATATCCATAAACAAACAAACTACAACATTTTAAAATATTCTCCATGGGAATTTTAAATTAATTTACAATTTTTTGAATTTTCTCTAGTTACCAATAACCGTACAAAAACACTTTATTATACAAAATTATTTTTTAAGCTCTTTAAAAAGGTCTAAGTATTGGTCCACAATCAAATTTGAGTCAAAAAACATTTCGTTTTATGTTATTGGTAGGAATATAAGTTTGATTTTATACTGTAAAATATAATACATGTTACTACACCCCTTTTCATGTTGGCAAATAATAGAAAAATTATAAACCACTAGAAAAAAACTATCAATGAACATTTCGTTTCGGCCAGAATTGAACCATAACAGTGTCTAATTCACTCCAATAATATAAAACTGGATGTAAAAATAACAAAACAAAGAATAATTAAGTCAAACCAGGAGCGGCGCCCTCATTTATAATGCAGCCGCCCGCAGTACGCGGCCGACGAGCGGGGCGTATCACGTAATTGAAGGGGCAGTACAGACCCGTCACGCTACGTCCTAACTATACCATCGGGATATCAGGATTATCATGGACATGTCATGTGTATGTAAACACGGAAACATCTTGCTTGCTTAGTAATCAAACACGATTCTTGAGCAATTAATGTTATAAAGTGTTGAAAGTAGTATTCATATGATGTATTGACCATTTATTATTGTTTCGTAGGGGAATGATTCCTAAATAAATGGCTTTCAAAGATTCAATAGGCTTACGGTACTTATGAAAAGTGTATTAAATATGACCAAATAATTTATGAAATTTGAGCATGATTTGTTTTATCTACTTTACAAAGAGAGGACTTGTATTCGTGCAGTCAAAAAATGTTAACTGTATTTTTTGCATATCTGGTCTATCCTATAGGGATTTAATTACACTAATTGTTGTTTGAGAAGGAAGAATACTTTCATACGCGATCGTGTTAATATTGATTGTATAAATAAGAGCCGAAACCTCAATAAAAGCTAACATAAGGTTAGAAAACTTGACCATGACTATAATTTAGTTGATACCCCAAATGCAGAAAATGGCCGTAGATTTGCTTACACAACAGAACTTGCTCTATGAAACAACTACAATTAGTAGTTAGTAGCGTAAACATTTATATATACTGAAAGTAAGAGTTAACATTTTACCAAAACTTTTGTTATACAGTATTAAGACCGGTCGTCAAATATTTCTCGTTTGAGATATCTACAAATTTCTGAGTAGACATACGGTTTTTGGAATCACCGATGAGCCCAGGGACCAGAGGGATTTGAAAAGGGCTTATAAGAAGAACGCGATGGTTACAAAACAATAAAAATCGTAATCGAAGGTTACAAATAAACGAGTCTATAATCTACAAACCTACTCAACGGGTCTACAGTATTTCGCAAAACTGGCGAAGTAACTAATAATGACGAACTCCGCCATGAGGATTTTTTAAACACATGCTGACATTCTCACTTCACGATGTGCTCCATCCGCAGCACGTAACTGGTGTAGTCTTTGTAAACTACCAAGGATAGTTTCAGCAGTAACCAGGTAATTTAAAATTCTATTAATACTATTAATAGAGCCGTAAACCAGCAGTAATCAGGTCATTTAAACCTCTATTAATACTATTAATAGAGGTTTAAATTACCTGGTTACTGCTGAAACTATCCTTGGTAGTTTAGTAACATGCTGGAGCACGAAGTGAGAATGTCAGCTTGTGTTTAAATAATCCTCATGGCGGAGTTCGTGAGACAGTAACAACACAGTAAGGTAATTCAAACATCTCTTCGTTAATTGAGACGACCCAGAGGCCATTTCATCATGGAAATGGTAAGGAATACTCAGAGCCACTTATAAAGGCATTAACCCCCCTTTAGAAAGAAAATCTAGAATATTACTATTTGAAAAAGTATCGGTGTTGTCGTTCCTAAGCACAAGCTCTCTATTGTGTTATCGCCGCTTCATTTGTATCAATCTAGTAATGGATTGCTCACAGTGTGGCTCGCTGTCCGCTGTCAAACTACGAATCATCAAACTTCCAAGATACCCCACAACGGCGTGAGACTCCTTGCGAGGGAGTACTGAGTAGAATGCCAACGTCTTCTTCTCTTCTTCGTGATGTTTCAGTCCAGTGAGCTTAAATCCTACTGGACTGAGGCTGTTTTAGGACTTAGTCCAGTCCTCTTCGGGAAGTCCTAAAACAGCCTCAGTCCAGTAGCGTTTCAGCTCACTGGATTGGAACGTCACGAAGAAGAATGAAAGAATTGCAGCTGCAGCACTAGCTTGTTTTTTCCGATGGACGTATCTGGGAACACATCAAGATCGTCCTGAGATTTCCAAGGTCACGGATGGGAACATGCTACACAACTATGGATGTGGTCGGATCACACCAGACAGGTCTGGGTATCCAAGGTAACCAACCGAGCATAGAAGTTGTCCTGGTCTGAACATAACACCTTCCTACTACTGTCACATATCCGCGTCCCGCCCTTTACAAACGTGTCCATCGCAGATAACAACTTTGAAAAAATCTTATCAAATAGCGAATGCAGTAGCAATATGTCATCTCATTCATTTAGCACTCATCCTTTACTCGTATTCGTCTTTAAACACGCATCGTGGTGAGTCAGTGTTGTAGAGTTCTAGCAAATAGTAAACTGGATTGGTTCATACGTTTAACATTGTGTTAAACGATTTTTGAAAATACTTTAACTACGGTGGATTCGACACAAGCATTCAGTTTTAGCTTATGGACCTGGCAGGGAGTTTGCTTTCAAGACTTCACCAACGTTGGACTTCACACGTGAGTTAGGGGTTTAAATTCAACGCAAGCGTCTAGTTCGATGGCTTATAACCCTATTGGGCATGGAGTTTGTTATTAAAAGACTTACATATACACAGTTTGGAGTTTGAAATAAAGTACTTAAATAGTATCGTAAACCATTTTAAGTGTAACAGTAATCCGGAGGCTAAACAACTTTTTTTAATGTAATAAGTAGTAACTTTTTCATTGAATCGTCCAACTTTTAAGTAGGCTAATAGAAAACTGAAATCACTTACAAATATCGTACTGTAAACTACTTTTAGTGGTGGCACAAACAAATAATTATTGAAGATGGACAAATTTTGAATTTAACTACAAAATAGAGACGACGATGATACTACGGTTTGACGACATCACGAGTGTAATTGACCGAGAAATTGGTCGTTAAAAGTTAACTGTACAATACTACTCTTTACAGATCTGTTTTCATTACATGGATTTGCTGTGGTAAGCTGCATTGCTTTTGTAACAAACACATAATGGAAGTCATTGTGCTGTATTATTACGGTGAGCAAAACCTTGTGAGAATGAATAACAATATAGAAATACAGTAACACTTTTGCTACGTTCGTTTCGAGCAGAGTTTTCGATGGGTAATTAGGGGGGGTCATTAATCGGAAACGATCCGTAGGAAAATAATAATCAAACAAACATACACAATTTAGCGCAATTTAATACTTATTTACTATAAAATAGGTATTTAAACATTTGATTTGGTGAAAAAACACCCATTTCACCAATTCAAATGTTTAAATACAATGCCTGCCATTTGGGCTAGGGGTGACATATCGACTTGAGGTTTGCACCATTGCTTATGTCTTGACAAAACCTTCAAAATGAGGTGTGTCACTCAATAGGGGTTGCTATTTGAAAAAGAATAAGTCATCCCCTACCCCTACCCTGTTATGGGGGTTAAAAAAAATTGTTATGTAAAAAAATGCGGATCCTTTTAAAAAATCAATGCTACAAACAGAATAGTTATATACAGGGTGTCCATAAAAAACGTTTCAGGACTTTGGGAAATGGATCCCCATACTAGA